AGGAGGAGGGGGAGGAGGAGGAGGAGGAGGAGGAGGAGGAGGAGGAGGAGGAGGAGGAGGAGGAGGCGGAAGAGGAGGGCATCCATGGGTGTGGACGTGTGGGCGCCGCCCGTGGCTCCTGGTAGGACGGGGCCGGCGGGCTCTCCGGGTAGGGCGGGAAGACGATGCGGACGTCTGGGCGGTGGACGGACTGGAACTGGGTGCTGATGGTCCCCCTCACCGAAGACGACGCCCAAATGCCTCCCCTCTTCTGGCCCTGGAACGTGAGGAAGTACTTCGACGGCTTGTCCAAGTCCGGCCGCGGTATCTGCGAGAGCGCGGGCGGGGCTATCGTCACGCCGGGCAGGGGCTCCGCGGTGTCGTTCCACAGGCGATGTATTCTGAGGTCGTAGGCCATGAAGATGAAATCCTGACGCCTCGTGAGGTTCTTCTTGCACCAGGCGTCTTTGTAGCAATGCATAACCTTCGTCGGGCTCACCCACATCAGGTAAGGTCGGTCTGGCGGGCGCTCTGGGAGCGCCTCGTAGAAATCGCCGCTGTGGTCCACGTAGCTTATGATGACGAACTTGGCGGCGTCCACGTCCGTCGTCCTGCACTTGTGCTTGCCCAACTGGTCGAAGCCCCTCTTGTAGAGGTAGTGGCCAGACCCAGGAACGGTGACCAGCGCGTAATTGATGCTCGGGTGTTGCCGAAAGTGCCAGTGGCCCAATGTGCCCTCAAGATTTCCAGGGAGGCCCAGATAGATGGTCTCTGGAGGCGGCTCCAAGGTGGCGCGAAAAGCTGGGACATCTCTAGAGGAGCAGGGCTCGGCATAAACATAAGCCTTTGGCGGTCCGCCGAACATCTGCGGTCGGGAGCTTGTGAATGGCATGTCGCCCCGGCGGCCCCAGCGACACGCTATGCCTTGCGAGTGGATGGCGTATGCCTTGCGAGTGGATGGCGTGTCGCTCCGCTCCGCGGGGCGAGAGGTCGGGAAGGGCTGAGGACAGCCACGCTTGGGGACCCAAAGGTGGCTAGAGGGCCACTTCCGGCAACGCCCGAGATGTCGCTGCAATCCTCCAAGTCCACGGCGGCCACGGCCGGCACCCCGCCCCTGGCATGCTTCCCGCCTGAGCGGCGCGCGCCAAGACGGTGCGACAGGCTCGTGCTGTGACGGCCCTCCCCTCCTCCTCCCTCCTCCTCCGCCTCCTCCTCCGCCTCCTCCTCCTCCTCCTCCTCCCCTCCTCCTCCTTCTCCTCCTCCTCCTCCTCCTCCTCCTCCTCCTCCTCCTCCTCCTCCTCCTCCTCCTCCTCCTCCTAGGAATCGAATCGAATCGGCCACGCAAGCAGGCACAACGGCGCCATGCCATCGTCGGGGCGCAATTTGGATCGATGGAGCGTCGGAATGCCAGCCGGATCGGGCTGGCCAGAATCTCGGGGGCGCGCAAACATGGATCAGCGATCCATGGATCTGGCGCGCGGTCGCCAGATCCATAGATCGGGGGAGGTGCCCTCCCCGAAGTGCGGCCGACGCCGCCCCGTTCGGCGGCGGGACTTCAGGATTTCCCCTGGAAACGGGTCCCGTCGCTAAGCCACGCTCCGTTAATCCATGTTTGCGATCGCCTGAGAATCGATGTCGAATCGGATCGACCGGGTTATCCCCCTGCCTTGGCGGGGGGGGGGGTCCGACAGGCGCTTTCGTTGGCTGGGCGGCTAGACGCTGCTACGATGGGGCCTGCTGGGTCGGCCAGATCATGGCTTCGCCAACGGCTCGAGGGGGCGCTTCATTACCCAGGGAGCCAGTGAGTAGCAATTAAACGACCGCCAACCCTCTGGGAGGGGACCCAGGTTAGGAGGGCCCAAACCATTAGGGATAGGGTCTCTTTCTGCAGATGCACCAAGCCCAATCGCCCAAGCTTCTTACCCCTCACGCAAAGACGGGGACCTACGTGAGGCCACGTCTTCACTGTGCTATCATAGAGGCTTCCTAGATGGGTCTGGGTAGATGGGGTCGGAGGATCGCGCCGCATTGCCGATACATCGGCGATGCCTCGGCGATGCATCGGCGATGCACCAACGATGCGCCGTCGACGTCGGCGGTGCATCGGCGACGCCGGCGTGAAGCAGATCGGGCTTCGCATCGAGCCGCATCGGCGATGCATCGGCGATTAGGGTTAGGGGTACTGCCATCCTTAGGTCGGGCATGTCCCCCTACAGGCGGATTTTGGACGAAAAGTAAACAAGAACCAGAACAACAAAAATATGCAAACATGTGTAAGGAATCGTCGCCCGACTACTTTTTGAGCATGTGTGAACCCATTCCTCCTGTAAAGGCGCCGTGCCCGACTTCAGGGCCACAGGGGCCCTGCTAGTACTGTCCTCGGTGGCCCCAGGTGCTGGGACCCTCGGGCCGCAATGGGCCCTGCGGCGGCGGCCCGGGCCCCGCCCCGAGGGCGCCTGCGGCGGCCGGCGCCCCCCCCTCGGCGCCGCCGCCCCCGGCGGCCGCGGCCCCTGCGCCTGCGGGGGGGGCGGCCTCGGCCTCGTTCGGCGCGGCGCCCTGCCCGCGGCGGGCGCGGCGGGCCGGCGCCCTGCGCCGCGCCCCCGGCGCCTCGCGCAGCGGCCGCGGCGGCGTGCGCCGCGCCCTGCGCGCCTGCAGCGGCGGCGGCGCCCGCCGGCTGCCGGTGGGACGGCAGCCGCGACAGGAGCGCGAACGTGCGACCACCGGCGGCGTGCAGCGCCAGCGGCAGCAGCAGCAGCGTCAGCAAGCCCAGCGCCGGCCCGAAGAGCAGCCGCCACACCCCCGCGGCGAATCGGCGGCCGCCCTGCGGTGACTCGTCCGCGGGCGCCGGCGACATCGCGCGGAGAGGGGCGGAAGAGAGTCGAGGAGGAGGTGGAGGAGGATCCGGAGGACAAGGCGGGGGACAGTGAGGGGATGAGGAGGAATGAGTGAATGAATTAATGAATGTCCTTCATGGTTCAATGTGTCTCTGCTCTTCACCTGTGCACTGCAGTGTGTGCGACAAAACCGAACGGACGTTGATGTGCAACATATCGGCTGGAGTTCGGCCTAGTCGAACTAATCCGCCGGCCCCCTTATGGGGCCATCAGGCTGCGAAATTAGGCTTTCATGCCCCCTGCACCAGTTCCAGTTTCAAGTCTCCAATGTTACAGTCCTGCTTTCTGCTTCCTACTGTAAATTGTTGCTGAACGCGCGAGGGGGGAGCCCCAAACCAGCCTTTTTACCACGCCCAGATCGCGTTGTCTGAATTCCAGGGGGGGCGTGGGACAAGGGAATATATATATATATATATATATATATATATATATATATTTATAGATATATGATATTCGCACCCCCGAGGCCATAATCCCGAGTAGGTTACACCATATTCGCGTACCCGAGGCCATGATCCATCGTAAATTACACCGTATTCGCGTTCGTTCCCGAGGCCCCAAACCTGCGTACATTACATGATATTTGCGCCTCCGAGCCCGTACACCCTTGTCATTTACACAATATTTGCGTCCCCGGCGCAATAAACTTTCGTAAATTAAGCAATGTTCGCGTCCCCGAGGCGATAAGTCCTCGTAAATGATACAGCAATTGCGCCTCCGAAGCCGTAAACCTTAGTAGATTCAAAATATTTGCGCCCCCAAGGCCACAAACCTCGTAAATTGAACAATATTCGCGTCTCCAGAGCTATAACACGTCGTAAATTACCTGGTATTCGCGCCTCCGAAGCGCTTCACGTCAGCATCCAGAAGTCCCAACACAGCTCTGGCAAGTTCCATTCTAAGAGAGGGGGGCCGGCGGCAGGGGGCGGAGCCCCTACGGATATCGGGATGATGTTGATGATGATGAGGAGGGGGACGATACGGCGAGACGGGGGATGGGGACGAGGAGGGAAGTGGGAGGAGGGATAAACGGTGGGGGACTACACTGACACAGGTGGTCGGGGATGACACTGAGAAAGAAGGAAGTGGGAGGAGGAAAAATGCGTCGGAAGCGGAGGAGGGGAAGGCCCTCCTATAGCTCCAGAGGCCCGTGTTCTCCACCCTAAACACCAAACTCCGCCTCCACAGCACCCCATTATTCCCTCTCCTTCTCCCTCCTCCTCCCTCCTCCTCGTCCTCCTCCTCCTCTTCTTCCTCTTCCTCTTCCTCTTACTCTTTCTCCTCCTCCTCGTCGCCTTTCTCTTGCTTCTCCTCCTCCTTTTCATACTCTCATATCATATCATCCCATCTCATCTAATATCATCTCACATCGTCTCATCCGATCCCATATCATCTCGGATCATATCATATCACCACATCTGATCCATCTCATCTCATCGATGCCATCTCATATCATATCGTCTCATCTCATCTCGTCTCATTTGATCTCATCCCATCACATCTCATATCACCTCATCTCATCTCATCCCATTTTATTCCATCTCATCTCCTCTTCTCTCGTCTCCTCCTCTCTCCTCTCCTCTCCCCTCTCATGTCCTCTCCTCTCCTCTCCTCTCCTCTCCTCTCCTCTCCTCTCCTCTCCTCTCCTCTCTTGCTTCTGCTCCTGATCCTCTCCTCTCTTCTCCCCTCCTCCTGCTCCTGTTGCTGATGCTACTGCTCCTTCTCCTCTTCTTCTTCCTCCTGCTCCTCCTTTTCCTCCTCCACCTTTTCCCCAGGCTCCTCCCTCCTGGCGCCAGACGCAGGAGTGGATGCAAGGATGAAACTTTTGGACCTGCGCGGCGGCCTGTGGCCGAATTCGCGGCAGCAGGCGCCTTGTGTCCCACCGTGCGCCGCTCGCGCCCCGAGCTGTGGGTGTGGGGCCGAAATGGCTTCGGAAGGGAGGGGGGGGGAAGGGACCATCGGAGGTCCCCCTCCTCCTCCTCCTCCTTCTCCTCCTCCCTTTCCTCCTGCTGCTCCTCCTCCTCCTCCTCCTTTTTCTTCTCCATCTCCTCGTCGTCGTCCTCCTCCTCCTCCTCCTCTTCCTTTTCCTCCTCCTCCTCCTCCGTTCCCCCATCCTCCCCCATCTCCTCCATCTCCTCCTTTTACTCCTCCTCCTCCTGCACCCCCGCCTCCTATGCCTCATCGTCCTCCCCCTCCTCCTCCTCCTCCTCCTCCTCCTCCTCTCCTCCTCCTCCTCCTCCTCCTCCTCCTCCCTCCTCCTCCTCCCCGCGGGGGGGGGGGGAGCGCGGGCCTCCCCTCCAGAAGCCGAGGGCGGGGGAGGGGAGGCAGGAGGGAGGCACGGAGGACCCGCGCAGCCGACGCGGATCTTGCCCCTCCCGAGCCCGCAGCGGTCCCCACCCGCCGCGTCCTGGCCGCACGCCCTGCGCCCCGTGGCAGGGTCGCAGGCCGTGGCGCCGCGGGGCGCCACGCCGCGCAGGGCACGATAGGGGGCTCCGTGGGCCACGGCGAGCCTCGGCCACGAACGGGCTCCCCGGCCGAGGCCCGAGGAGCGGCCCGGGGACCAGAGGCCCCCCCCGAAGCCGAAGCGGGCCTTGTCTCGACGTCTCGACTGCCGTGGGGCCCTCGCCTCAGCCGGCGGGCGCCCGCCGCTGGCACCCGTCCAGCAGGCAGCGGCGGCGGCGGCGCCGGCGACTGCACTCAGGGCCCAAGCGTCGCCAACGACGTGCCAATAGAAACCGGCATCTGCCGCCCCCCCCTGCCCCCCGCTTCTTGAGGACGACCTCCTCTTCCTCCTCTTCCTCCTCCTCCTCCTCCTCCTCCACCTTCTCCTTTACTTCCCCCTCGCCTAAGGCCTCGCTGTGCGGCTCCTCTTCCTCCTCATCCTCATCCTTCTCCTCCTCGTGTTATGTTGTTCCCATCGTAAGGACCACATCCCAGAAATAATTCCGAGCACCAAGACAAATATCAAAATCATGGCGAACGAGTATCGCCTCCCAAGGCCCGACCCGTGAAAACCCTCCAGTTTCGGTGCTTTCTTGGTGCTCAACATTATTTCTGATGATCGATCAAAGCACAAGTAAGTTGGAACATAATAATCGTCGTGTAGTCGTCGTCGTGGTCGTGATCGTGGTCGTGGTCATGGTCGTAGTCGTGGTCGTGGCCGTGGCCGTGGTCGTCGTCTCGTCGTCGTCGTCGTCGTCGTCGTCGTCGTCGTCGTCGTCGTCGTCGTCGTCATC